TAAAACATCACACGCCTTCATTAACTCAAACACACGTGCAAAAAAAATAACCAATTGCGATCAAAACTCGAGAGACGCCGTCAATCAGTTGTAAACAGAAATGCGGCCATAAGTCACAGGGACACGTCTTCATTCCTGTGGCCTCTATGAATACCAAACAGAAGATAACGGATATGTCAAGGAGGACGGGGACAAAAGGAACATGAAGGAAGCTGCTAAGAAATCATCAAGCGGACATAACAATGGCTACGTTAAATTAAAACAAGTTTTAAAAAAAAGTTAAGACAAACAAAAAGAGTCAAGAAGTTGGCAGTGACTGAGATAAAAACAGAGGATCACACCTGCCCAACGGACCAGCTGGGTCCCTACGCAGTGACGTCAATGCTGTCGATAGGCTGGGTGGGTGGATCTCACCTCCTATTGGAGCTGTGCTCAACTTCACTGTGTTCTCACACCGACAGAAAGACGAAGAAACCAGTATTCATTCATTTCAAATGAGTGCTGGGACACAAGAGATCTCGGTGACGGGGCCCTACTTTATACAAGGAGCTCTACTGACACATGCCTACTCTTGGGGTGAGTCGATGACAAGTGGACATTTCTAAATACAGGTGTGAATACACCCAAGAGAGGGCTGGCATGATGATTCGTCATCAATTACAAAATGATGTTGATTTGTATAGGGTGCCTCTGCACGTTGCAAGAATGATAGATTGAATGTTATTATGTATCATTTCCGAATTCCAAAAAAAAGATGGGCACTCCGCTGCTGCTCGGGACAGCAGTATCAGCTGTAAGCTTGTGTAGGACAGTAAACCTTCAGTAGCATATCTCAAACAGGTTTTGGTTTAAATTCAAGTATTTGGTTCTGAGAAGTCCGAAAATGTAACAATAAAAGTCTCTAGTGACAACTAGGTAAGAGAATCGACTTCATGCTCAATAAAGACAAAGGCTATGGCCTCTGGGGACACGGTGTGCGCCTGAAGGGGCCCGTCAGTGTGGGGTATGCTGACAGGTCACCACACCATTCAGCAAACAGTACACACAAAAAGCAAGTAGCGCAGCGCAGCCCTCCTCCCTATCAGACATGCTTGAAAACACAAAGACAAACAGGCAGGCAAGCAAGAAAGCACACGCACGCACACACACACATTAAACTACAATCAGCTACACTGGTTAAGCTTCTAATACTTTTCTGAGCCTCACCAGTTTATCCAGAATAACAACCAAGACTGAGATCTACAGGCAGGCCGGGACACGACGGCATTGAGAGACATCGGCTTGTATACAAAACTGCAGCAGAGATCCTAAACTGCTGCTGTGCGTCCCGTGAGCAGCACACCTCCGGGCTCTGCAAACGGGAACCTCGGGCTGAAAGTGATACTTAGAAGTGGAGTTGACGATGTGTGG